AGCCAGTAACTGGGGAATCACCAGTGTCTCTTTAGAGATTACGCTTCATTCATAGACAACCAAGAGCAGTGAGATACAAAAGAGATGATAAGAAGGAAGAATATTCTGGTGACAGTGTAAAGGTTGGCTTGGTGTGGTCCAGACTAGATAATTCCAGGAGAAAGTCTTACAGAGAATGTGTTACAAGAACAATAACAGCCAAAGAGGAAGTAAGCAAAGAAGATCCCAGAGAGTGGAAAGTTGCCCCCTCCCATGAGCAGTGCCCCCACACCCACTCTTCGTGCTGTGACTATGGAGACTGCTGGAACCTGAATCCCACTCCTGCCAGCTCAGGAGCCATGAAAACTGCTGTGACCTGCAATCAACTATGGTCCCAAAATGGCCTCTCCTGGAGACAGAAGCAGAATGGGTTGTTGCTCTTCTAATCTCTTGCCTTTGGCTTCTATTGGTGGAAACCAGATAGCATGGATGTTCTGGAAATGTATTAATCTAGCTTCTTGCTCCTACCACATATGACAGCACAGGAAGGCAGCAAGAGGTCAAACTACTAATAGAGCAAATTGTAGCAACAAGGAAGGGTGCAGGACAGTGTCCAAGGTCAGGGTATAGTTTTTCCTGAGTGAAAAAAACATCTGGAACTAGATTTATTGTTGATCAGCTGAGCCTTCTCCAAGGCACTCTAGCATGATGGTTCAGGGTCTCATGGGCAAAGTGGACAATGTTACCTCATTCAAGAATATATCCAGAAGATCACAAGTCAGGATACAATGAAGGGGCCTGCACACTCATGTTCATTGTTGCACTATTCATAATAGCCAAGTATGGAAACAGCCTAGATGCCCCACAACCTGTACATGAATCACAAAGCTGTATGGTTTCCCTCATTTGTAATCTCTAGACTGTGCCTATAAATCTACAGGTAAGCACAATAGATAGTAAAAGACAAAAAAATTACACTTGGGCATGATTAGTTAGACGGCACTCTAAACATTCACAGTGAGAACAAAGGAGGATATTCTTAGGAGAGGATCACAAGGGCTTAATAGCTATGTGCATATGATCATATAACATGATGCTTATTGAAATGAACTCCAAGCAACGGAACTATGAGGTTTTTTATTTGAAGTTTTTTTCTTCTTTCCTTTTTCCTTTGCTTTATTCCCTTTTGTTACTGTTTTTTATTTCTGTACTGCTTGCCTTGTATATAGGTTTATCTGATTTGGGGAGGGGAAGGGAAAGCACAGAAATGGTGGAACAAATGGTGAACCAATTTAAAAGTGATATTCCCTAGACATTATGTTGGAAGTGAACTAATACATCTTGGGAGGAGGGGGATCAGGAGAGGAAAAACTGATATAGAATGAGAGAGGGGATGACACTGTTCGAAAGGAAATTTACTCATTACCTGACATGAAACTCTAAACCCTCTGTACATCTTCTTTACAGTAAAATGTTTAAAAAATAAAAGCAAAGAGAATGGAATATATGCTTTGGGATTTTATTTATCCATCAGGAAGAATATCATGTCATTTGCACAGAAATGGATGGACTTGGAAATAAAATGCATATAAAGTCAGGCTCAGAGAGACAAAGGGCACATATTTTCTCTCATCTGTGGAAATTAGACCTAAAATATAAGCATACATGAAAACACTAACAAGACCATAGGCATATAGACACAATCACACAGAATAAATTATTGTATTTGCAGGTGTAGGCTTCTATAGTGTAACCTTTTTGAACAATTAACAGTTTAACAAGATCAATACCAAGAAACGGAAATGTAACTTATCTGAGAGGGGTGAGCGGGTAAGAAGGAGTGGATGATTGGAGAGAATAGTGTGCAAATATAATCAAAGGACTCAAGGTAACTAGGGAAGTTGAGGTGGGTGTATAGGATCAATGTGGGGAGAGTAATGAAAGGGCTGGCACTGACCAAGATGCTTTGTTCTCATAAACTGAGACTGTTGATGTGGAATACCTTTCTACAAGTATTTGGGGATAATAAAATAAATAGGTAAATAAGTAAATAAATTGCTCCCTCACAGGAATCCCTATGAGCGTTAAATGGGATGCAGAGCAGAGCCTGAAGCTTGGAGCAGTCAACTCCTCATCTAGCAATAACTATTGTTGCTGTCCTGACTTCAGTTTCAACATCTGTAAAGAAAAGTGAGGGGTGAAGCCTGGTGGCAGCAGCTCAGACCTGTAATCCTATCCAGGTGCTTGAGGTCTGAGGAAAGTAGTTCAAAGCCAGTCCAGGCAGGAAGGTCCATGAGCCTCTTTCACCAAGAAGCTGGAAGTTGAGCTCAAGTGGAAGAGTTCTAGCCTTGAGGGGGGAAAAAAGCTAAAGGCCATGAGTTCAAACCCAGTGGCAGCACAAGAGTAAGAGAGACAGAGAGAGAGAGAAAAACAGAGACAGAAACAGAGATAGACAGAGACAGAGACAGACAGAGACAGAGAGGCAAAGAGAGAGAGAGAGAGACAGAGACAGAGACAGAGACAGAATGGGGAGGCAGTTAAAGTATCTATGCTTGTCCATAATGAGGCAGAAAAGAAGCAGTCACACTGAAATGGAGCTAGACACTACGCTAGATTTCTGAAATGCAGAGAAAAATAATACTAAGTTCCTGTCATCAAAGAACTCACAATTTGAAGGGAAGACAGGAAAAGGCAGAAAACTGATTCAAAGCAAAATGTGCACAGGAATAGATAACAAAACCCCACAATGATTCATATATAGCTATATACGCCACTTTAAATGCACTACATTTCTCCTTTGGTCTTGGGAAGTTTACTTAGTCAAATGTGCCTCTGTTTCTTTGTCTGTAAAAGTGGAGATAGTAAAAGAATAGCCCTAGCAAGGTTTATGAAAGATGAAGCTATTTCCTGTAAAGGCTCTTCTGGAGAAGGTGACAGAGGCAGGCATGCAAACATGATGGTTAGTGTGATTTCAGAGGTGGAGAAGATATGAATCTTAAACTAAGGGAGTGGGAATGGTTTAGGAAGTCGGGGAGGGAGGCAGATTTAGAGGTGTGAGTTGAGGGAATGTTATCCTTCGAAGACCACCTAATTCATGTGGACATTAGAACTTGGGAGGTCTGGTTTACTTCACTTAGTATAATTTTTTCCAAGTTAGCCTTTCCATTTCCTTATGAATGGGGTAATGTTATTCTTTCTGATGGAAGCATAGAATTTCATCGTGTGTGTGTGTGTGTGTGTGTGTGTGTGTGTGTGTTCGATTGTGTATACAACATTTTCTTGATCCATTCATCCACTGAAGGGTATCTGGGTTGATTCCATATCTTGGCTATGGTAAACAATACTGCAATGAACATGGTTGTGCTGGTGGCTTTAGTGTAGCCTGGTTTGTGGTCAAGTAGGTAGATTCCCAGAAGTGGGATTGCTAGGTCATAGGAAAACTCTATGTTTAGTCTTTTGAGAAACCTTCATACTGATTTCCAGAGTGGGTGAACAAGTTTACACTCCCAGCAGTCAGTAGTGTTCCCTTTTGGCCATATCCTCACCAGCATCTATTATTGTTAGCCTTCTTGATAGTGGCCATTCTAATTGGGGTGAGGTGGAATCTCGATTTTGCTTTGATTTGCATATCTTTTCTGGCCAGAAATGTGAAACATCTCTTTATGTGTCTATTGGACATTTTTATTTGTTCTTCTTCAGAGAAATCTCTCTTTAAGTCTTTAGCACATTTATTAATTGAGTTGTTGTTTCTTTGAGGATTTGTTTTGAGAAGGTTTAATTTTTTTGAGCTCTAAGTTTATTTTAGATATGAGGTCCTTGTCTGATGCATAGCTGGTAAACATCCTCTTCCACTCTGTGGGCTTTCTATTTATCTTGCTAGCTATATCTTTGCCATGCATAAACCCTTCAGTTTGATGCAATCTCATTTATTCAGTCTTTCTTTGTTTTGATTTTGATCTTTACTTGGAAGTTTCAACCTGTACCTAGAAGCCCTAGTGATTCTTCTATCCCTTCCTGTAATATTTTCAAGGTATCTGGTCTTACATTGAAGTCTGATCCACTTGGAGTTAATTCTGGTGCAAAGTGATTAATATAAAGCTCTAACTTCAGTTTTCTGAATGTGTATAGCCAATTCTGCCAGCATCATTTGTTAAATGGGTTATCTTTCTTCCATTTTGTGTTTTTGGCTCCCTTATCAAAGATTAGATGGCTATAGGCCTGTGGGTTCATTTCTGGGTTTTCTATTCTATTCTATTGGTTCTCAGGCTTATTCTTGTGCCAGTACCAAGATGTTTTTATTACTATAGCTTTGTAATAGAGTTTGAAATTATACTAAGCAAAGTAAAACCCAAAGAAACACAGGCTGCATGGTTTCCCTCATTTGTAATATCTAGAATGTTCCTATAAATCTACAAGTAAACCCAATGGACAGTAATGGACAAATAGGTACATCTGGACATGATTAAATAGCACTCTAAACATTCACACAGTGAGAACAAAGAAGTTATTCTTAGTAATGGATCACAAGGGCTTAATAGCTATGTGCCTGTGATCATATAAAATGATGTTTATCGAAATGAACTCCAAGAAATGGAAACAAGAGGTTTATTTTTATTATTATACCGTTCATGGGTTTTTATCTTTTTTTTCTTTCGTCTATTTTCTTTTGTCACTATGTTTTGTTTCTGTGCCTTTTGTCTTGTATATAAATTTATGTGATTTGGGGAGGGGAAAGGAAAGCACAGAAACGGTGGGACAAAGGGTGAACCAATTCAGCAGTGAAATCCACTAGACACTATGTTGGAAATGAACTGTATAACTTTAGGGAGTGAAAAGTCAGAAAGGGAAAAGCTGGGAGTGGATGAGAGAGGGCATAACACTGTTCAAAAGGAAATGCACTCATAATCTAACTTATGTAATCCTTTGTACATCACCTGTACAATAAGTTTTTAAAGTATAATAATGATAATAACAATAACAACAACAACAATAATAATAACTTGGTAGTCCGCACCTCCGATATGGACCACGAGGGGGCGCACGAGGACCACGGCATCCTCGTTGCCCGTAGCAACCGCCATACTCGGGCCTGGGAGGTTGTGAACAACAGCAGCAAAATGGCCTGGAAACTCCTGTACTCCTTGGTCCCTGAGTTGGGGAGGAATGTCGCCATCTCCGCCAGTCTGTCCGTGGATCTAAGCACTGTCCCCCCTACTCTGGGCTCCTCTGTGGCGACCACTGCCCTAGAGCAACTCTTTGCCATAGGTGAGAGGCCCCGGGAGTGCAAAGTTCAGGGACAGGAGGCTGAGGCCAGGCGGAGCTCAGTGCTCCACCGCCTCTAATGGAAAATCCTCCTCCTGAAACCAGGGGACTCTGCCTGGCCAGGGTTTATTTGACGAATAGGAGAGGAAAAGGCTATATTAAACTAGGAAACTTAGATTTAAATGGGTCCACGCCAACATACTTATTAGAAAGCTCAATGTGTTAGTCCAAGAAAGGGTATTTCTGGGTAGCTCCTCAAAAATCATTTCTCCAAAGAGCAAAACATCTCCTTGTTTTACTCGAATGAATCGTCTTTCTGTTTCAAAATAATCATAGTGGTTTCTGCGACGATGTTGCTGTTTCTTTAGGATGCTTTCTTCCTTCATAAAAGGCTTGATTTAATTCCACAGTTCTCAGGTCTGGACAAGTGTTATGAAGAATGTTCACCACTAATGAGATGCACATTATTAATATATTAATATTCATTGTTAATAATCATTGTTATTGATAGAACTTGGGCTTTGAATTCTTTTTTTGGGGAGGGGGGTCCTGTCATGGGCCTGAACTCTGGGCCTGGGCACTGTCCCTCAGCTCTTCAGCTCAAGGCTAGCGCTCTACCACTTGAGCCACAGCGCCACTTCCGGCTTTTTTCCTTTTTTTGCTTATGTGGTGCTGAGGAATCGAACCCATGGCCTCAGGCATGCAAAGCAAGCTTCCCAGCTCGGGCCTTGAATTCTTTTCATGATGATCAGTATATCACCATGTCCATTCAACCTTAGTATGCAGGCACAAATATTTTTTCTATTAATAATGTCTTGACTCTCAAAAAATTTTGATAGAAAAAAACCTTTTTGTTATGAGTATGGATTGTAAAATATGTTGCTCTCCATCTTATTTGCAAGTGGAACAAGAGCATGCTCATTCCCTCCTTAAAACAAACAAACCAAAACCCCACTGGAAATAAGTAGCACCTCTGAGTCTTTAACATGGTGACTTGCAAAGTCACTTACAGAACATGTGGAGAAAGGGCACACACACACACACACACACACACACACACACACACGGCTAGGAGCAAGACAGAAACTTCTTCACAATTTCTAGTTTTACAAATAATCCCATTCCATGCTTCAAATTTTTGCAAGGAAGTAAAAATAACAGTTTATTTGATATGTGCCCCCTGGCACAATCCCATATTACTTTATATTAATATGTACTTAGTGTATGCATATGAAATCATGGCTAATCAAACCTTCAGTATAGCCATGGTAGATTTAAACCTCTTATAAGTATCAATATTTTTGCCCCATCCTAGTCATACTCTTTCTACCAGAAGATATGCAAAGATGAGTTTGTCTCCAAAAAGCATAAAATGCTTGTCTAAATTACAATGCTATGTAGTAGGATGTAGCAAGTACCAACAAAGTTCACATATACAATACATTTAGAAATCACTTCTAGTATTTGAACCAGAACATAAATGGTTAAATAGGACTTGAATAGAGAAAAGATCTTAATTTTCTAATCTCTTTGCTTTTTAGAACAATCTCTGAAAAGTGACGATTTTAAATGCAATGAAGAAGCTAGGATCTTTCTCAAGGACATTGCTGTAGCTGTTAAACAACTGGTATTGTATTGTCTATTAGAACTACTTTTTCAATCATCTACTGTATTGTGTTATCTGTTAGCTCAACTTTTTCAATCATCCACTTAATTTTTCAAAAAACTTAACTTGGCACCAACTTCATTCAATTTATTTTAATAGGTGAATAGGTGAAACATTTGTCTGGAGTTAAAAATCTTTTTCGTTCAACTTGGAAAATATATCCATAAGTAGAGATTGCTGCCCAGTTTTCTATGTAGTAAATGAATTGTAGATACTGTGCTAAGGATGAGGTCAAGTCACTTAGGAAAGCAATAGGGGTGGTAAGAAAACTTAGTGGAAGGACCAAATGGCAAATGCCTGCACACCAACCAACCAACCAACAACTAACAAAACTCACTATTACCAACCAACCAAGTAAACATTCACTCAACAACTACCATCTAACCATAGCAAACTGACTATTTAAAAAATCACATGCATTATCCCTGGCCATAAAGGAAATGCAAATAAAATCAACTCCGAGATACCTCCTTACCCCACTCAGAATGGCCCACATCCTAAATTCAGCCAATGACAAATACTGCCAGGAATGTGGAGAAAGAGGAACTCTACTGCACTGCTGGTGGGAAGGTACACTAATACAACCACTCTGGAAAGCAATCTGGAGGTTCCTCAGAAAACTAAACATAGACCTTCCAAATGACCTAGCCATACTACTCCTAGGCATCTACCCTGAGCAACAGGAACCAGGATACAAGGATACATGCACCTCCATGTTCATTGCTGCACTGTTTTACAATAGACAAGATATGGAAACAACCCAGATGCCCCACTACAGATGAATGGAGCCAAAAATTATGGTACCTATATACAATGGCATATTATGTAGCCATTAGAAAGGACAAAATAATGGCATTCACAGGGAAATGGATGGAACTGGAACCAATCATATAGAGCTAGGTAAGCCAAGATCAGAGAGACAAATGGCACATGGTCTCCCTGATATGCAGATGTTAAATTCAAAACCCAACAAGATAAGACAAAGTAAACAGGACTGAAGAAACAAAGGACCTCTTCTTAATTTGTGGTATCATTTTTAGATGACTCTATGTTCTTGACCCCACATATGGTATATACATGTGCACATATGAAGGAAGCTAGGAGGAGGGCACAGAATCAGAGGGAAACAGGTGAAAAATACAGCAGAGGGGTCCCTCAGCTGCACTGGACATTGATGAAAGTGAACCAAGCAACTCAAGGGCAGCGATGGGAGGGGGGAATGAGAGAGAAGGAACAGCTGACACTAAGCAAAAGGAGAGAAATGTACATATCACCAGATTTGGAAAAAAATAGTTGTAGTGTCAAAGTTCGTAGAGTTCATAAGCTTTCTAGGCCACGATAATGACAATTCTCCTTGTGTAGGTTAAAAATGTGTTTGTGACTTTAGCTAAGTATCACTATCTCACAATACTGTGAAATTTATGTAATCAATCTCAAAAAAGAAATTTTTAAAAATTACATTCAGCTAGGTGCCCGTGGCACACACCTAGATCCTAGCTACAAATCGGGAGGCTGAGGTCTGAGGATAGTGGTTCAAAGCCAACCTGGACAGAAAAGTCCCCATGAGACTTTTTTATCTCCAATTAACTACTCAAAAACTGGAAGTGGCGCTTTGGCCTCGATCCCAAAGAGGCTCATGGACAACAACACCTAGGCCCTGAGTTCAAACCCCGCAACCTAACAACAACAACAAAAACAAAATCACACCCATGGTACCTACTATCAATTTTTTCTAAGCTGCTTCTTTCACAGCAGATAAAAGATCATTTTTCATCTTGTCTATTCCACTGAAATAGTCTTATTATTAATGAAAAGAGCAGAACCTCTTTCAGTTATAACCTAGCTCCTATCAAAGACATATTTAAGAAAAAAAATTAATTTTCATCAATATATCTGTTTGTTTGTCATGTCTGAATGTTTCAAAGGCTTCTTCAGCAGGATCAAAATGTTGAATGTTTCATTTAATTTTAAAATATCAAATAAGAATCTGCTACATGGTCTAGATCTAAAAGTGTCGACATATAACTGTAATGTATGGGAGTCCACAGACGGCAGATAAAAATCTTATCACTCTATATCTTACATAATTACATGCAATTGTGGATGTATAGTACTTAGTCATACTTTATGATCCCAGTCAATTGAATAGAAACCAGTGTACACTGAAGAGTTCGTGTATGTTGTACTGCCAAGGGGTCCTATGGAAACTTTTCCTCTTCCTCATGTCTTTCAATTGTTTTCCTCCAGCATGTGCAAGAGTCAAAAATACTCATCGTGTCTGATTAAAGTAACTAGTATGTATCTGTTTATTACCTGAGCTGTGAGACCTCTTACATAACAGAAAAATCTTTCCATTATTACAATAATAAATATTCTTTGAAAATCTGAGGAAGAAAAATAGGTAAGGAAAAGAAAGAAAGTAAAAACTGCTATGATCCCACTGCCCTAAAACCTTTAGCTAGTCTTTAAAGAATATCATACTTTCACAGTATATGTGATGTTTATATTGAACTTTATTTTGGCATTGAGTATGAACTCAGCACCTTGTGCTAGCAATGCAGGTGACCTACTATCTGAGCTTTAGTGTTTTTTGTTTTTGTTTTGTTTTTCCAAACAGATTGTTGAACTTTTGCCTGGGATTGACCTTTAGCATGGCTAGGATTATAGAAGTGAACCACCATTGTCTGGCTTGTTTATTAAGATGGGATCTTACTAGGTTGTTGCCCAGACTGGCTTTGAACCATGGTTCACCCTATCTCTACTTCTAATCTATACTTCTCTACTGAGATTGTAGGCAGGAGCCACTGTACCCAGATGAATTTTATTTTTTAAAGAAAAACAATCATAATGTACACAATTATGCAACAGATTGCACATGCCCACACACACCTGTTCTAAGGATTGAACTCAGGAGCCTGGGTACTGATCCTGACTTTTTTTGCTCACTACCAATTGCTCACTGACTTTTTTTGCTCACTACCACTGCTGCCTTTTTGGTGGTTATTTGGAGATAAGAGTCTCACAGGTTTTCCTGCCTGGTCTGGCTTTGAACTGTCAACTTCAGATTTCAGCCTCCTGAATAGCTAGGATTGGGCATGAGCCACCAGCAATCAGCTGTAACAGATTTTTTAGTTAATAAAATATATTTACAATTTTTCATGTCATAAAATAACAGTAGCTATTAACATATTTTATTTGAAAGAAAGAAAGAAAGAGGAGAGAGAAGGAAGGAAAGAAAGAAAGAAAGAGATTATCTGTTTCTTTTCCTAATTAATTTTTGAATGTTTTTTCCTTTCTGAAATTAACTTATCTAAAACAAACAAATGAATCAATCTTCTGACCTGACTTGTTTGGATTTATAGGTATGAATAAGAAACCCATTTTCCTTATACCTAAATAGATTTTTCTTTTTTCTTTTTTTTGGGTCCGGTCGTGGGGCCTGAACTCTGGGCCTGGGCGCTGTCCCTCAGCTCTTCAGCTCAAGGCTAGTGCTCTACCACTTGAGCCATAGCGCCACTTCTGGCTTTTTTCTTTTTGCTTATGTGGTGCTGAGGAATCGAACCCAGGGCCTCAGGCATGCAAGGCAAGCGCTCTACCACTGAGCCACCTTCCCAGCCCCCTAAATAGATTTTTCTATAGAAATTTTCTTTCTTTCTTTTTTTTTTTTGGCAATTGTTTTCTTTTTCAATGTTCCCTTCTTGTTGGGATATTTCCTTTTAAAGTAATTAAAACTGTAGACAGGAGAGAAACATATTAAGAAGATTTATAAGTAGAAGAAATAACAATGAGACTTGAAAATTGGCTGTAGAAGCTGGGCTCCAGTGGCTCACACCTGTAGTCCTAACACCTCAGGAGGCTGAGGTCTGAGGATCATGTTTCAAAGCCAGCCCAGCAAGAAAGTCCTTGAAACTCTTATCTCCAATAAACCACCAGAAAACTGGAAGTGGTGCTATAGTTCAAGTGGTAGAGTGCTAGCCTTGAACTGAAGAGCTGAGGGACAGCGCTCAGGCCCAGAGTTCAAGCCCCACAATGGACAAAAAAAAAAGGCTGTAGAATTTGTTCTTTTTCTGCCTTTTTATTCCAATAAAAATAATGGCAGTAGATGCTCAGTAAAAATTAGAGCCCAGAAAACATTTATAGAGGCTCATTTAGGAGACCACTCTTATTATTTTGGTAGATTAATTTGTTTTAATGTAACTTAATTTTTTCAGGAAGAAATGAGAAAGAACACAATCGATCTTTTGGAAATTGAGAGTATGGAACTGAGCAGGCTGTACTTCCTGCTGGAGACGGTACCTGCTATCATTAACAGGGAAATGGAAGGTACTTCTGCTGTAAAGACTGAATTTATTTCCTATGAAAATAGAAACCAAGGACTTTAACCAAGTTGCATTTAATAGTTGTCACTTATATAACTGCAACTAGAACAATTGCTTAAGACAGCATATCACTGATAATAATTTGTTTCTTACATTTTAAGAAAAACAACATATTCTATATAGAAATTTAAATCATTCCATGTCTAAGTAAAGATATATGATTAGCCTATTCCAAAGTGATATTTATCCAATTAAATTAGGCAGTTTGGCTAACTTAACCCTCTACTCTATGATTTGGGAGATTCTAGGAATTTAAGCGGCATAATCCAATATTGTAGGCAGTTTGGCTAACTTAACCCTCTATGATTTGGGAGATTCTAGGAATTTAAGCGGCATAATCCAATATTGGTCCTTTTGTGACTTGCTTATTTCTCTTCAGCATAATATCTTCAAGGTTCATTCATACTATAGCGTGTATCAGAACTTCCTTCCTCTTAAAAGCTGATTATTATTCCATTTCAAGTGCTCAAGTGCTCACCTATGCTTACCTAGACCCTGACTAATGGAGGTTGATTTTTCTACAGTTGTAAATAATGCTATGAACACTAGATAACAGATGTCTATTTGAGACTCTATTTTCAGTTCTTTTGTGTTTATCTGCAGAAATGCAATGACTAGATTGCATGATAATTCTGAGTTCAGTTTTCAAGGAACCAACTCTTAGTGTTTTGCAAGTGACTGCACCATTTTGCATGGCCAGCAGCAATACAAAGGGGTTCTAGTTTTACACTTGCTACCTGCTGGATTGTTCTAATTTTTATTAAGCATGGGCTGGGACCACATTGTGGTTTTAATTTGCATTTTCCCACTGCTTAGTGAGATTGTACATCCTTTCCTGCCCTTATTGGCTGTTGGTATATCAGCTTTGGGAAAATGTCTATTCAGGTCCTTTGTCCATTGTCTAATTGGATTTTGTGGGTGTCATTATTGATACTGAGTAGTAGTTCTTCCTGTATTCTAGATACTAACCTTTTATTAGATATATACAAATATTTTCTCCCACCTCATGGCTTTTATCTTTACTCTGCGTATATAGACCTCTGATAAACAAAACATTTTTAAATTTGGGGGCAGCCTCATGCATCTTTATTTTTCTTCAGTATTAGAGTTTGGACTCAGGGAGTTCTACTGCTGAGCCATGTCTCCATCCTTGTTTTTCACTGGTGAGTTTTGAGATAGGGTCTAGCTTCCTGTCTAGGCACACCCCTGGATTATGATACAATGATTTTAGGTTTCCCATTGTTGCTGGGATAATAGGCACACACCACTGTGACCAGTTTCACTCTGCTTAAATGGAGTTTCACAGACATTTCTCTCAGGCTGGCCTGAAACAACAATTCTCCCAATCTCAGCCTCCTGTGTAGTTTAGGAGGACAGAGGTATGCCCAGATTTGTGTTGAGAAGGATCTCAACAATACTTTTCTGACGAGCCCACCTTAGAAATCACTATCTTCCCATTCTCAGCATCCCAAGTATGTATTTCTCTCTTTTGTTACCTGTGCTTTTGGTATTGTGCCTAAGCAATCATTACCATATCCAAACTCTTGATGTTCTTTCTTATCCTAGTTTTCTTTTAACCATTTTTTAAAATTATTATTGTTGCTGTTTTGTTTTGTTTTTGCACTGCTGGAGAAAAAAAACCCTGAAGACTCATGCAATCTCAGCCCCTTCGATTTTTATTTATAGTTTAGCTTTCCACTTAAGTTTGTGAATCACTTTTTACTAAAATTGTGTACGTGCAATAACTAACTTTCTTTTCTCAGCTGCAGAAATGTTGTCTTAAGGGCTGACTTGGACAAAATAGACATGCCACCCCAGTTACACTCTGCCCTGTCTGCCTCTCACATCTTGTGATTGGTCTCCATAAGGAATCAAAAACCTGGCTCCCCCACATCAGCAGAGAAGGAAGTCTGAAATGTTAGCATAGCTCAAATCGCTTTCCAGTTTCACTTGTCCCTGGCCAGCCCTCTCTTCTCCTTTACTTTTCCAGAGGAGATTTTTCTTTCTCTTCTCCTTTACTTCTCCAGAGGAAATTTTTCTTTCTTTCTTTCTTCCTTTCTTTCTTCCTTCCTTTCTTCCTTTCTTCCTTCCTTTCTTCCTTTCTTTCTGTTGTGGGGCTTGAACTCTGGGCCTGGGCGCTGTCCCTCAGCTCTTCAGCTCAAGGCTAGCGCTCTACCACCTGAGCTACAGCGCCACTTCCGGTTCGCCACTTCCGGTTTTCTGGTGGTTTATTGGAGATAAGAGTCTCACGGACTTTGCTGCCTGGGCTGGCTTTGAACCACGATCCTCACTCAGATCTCAGCCTCCTGAGTAGCTAGGATTACAGGCGTGAGCCACCAGCGCCCAGCCAGAGATGTTTCTAAAAGCACAATTTTTAGAATCTGTTTCCTGACAAACGCCCTTTAATAAGGAGCTCCTAATAAAAAGGAAACCGTAAAAGGAACAATATATAACTTTTATAAAAGTAGATGTCTATCCAGGCATGGTTCTGTATGCCTATAATCCTAGCAATCAGGAAGTGGAGAAAGAAAAGAGTTGGAGTCCACCTTGGGCTACGTATGAAGTTCAAGGCAGTACTTGTCTTGAAAAAAGTAAAATAAAAATAATGGTTGTTCCCATTACCCATTGGACACCGCTCAGCTCCACACCTATACTTCATTGTCCTCTCCACAGTGGTGTGCCTGTAGTTTTCTTTTCCAGCTGGTCTGTAGAGGGCACTGTAGAGCTACTGAAGTGGGGGTGGGAGTGGAGGGGCGGGTATCTGGATGCTCAGCTTGGCAGCCTCAACTGTAATTCTGCAGCGATACCATGGTCTGCAGTGCCCAGTAGTACTTCTTGGTACAGAGTCACAAAGACAAACCTCTCCTATAAAGAGCTTCCCTTAAAATCCCTTGGGCAGTTCTACAATGCGTTCTGAGGTGTGGCACCTCTGTGTGGACAAAAAGACCCAACACTTCAGAGAGCAGAGTTCCAGTAAGTTCCAACAATCTAAAATGGTTTGTGCCCTTTTGACATTCGGTGAGTCCCAGCTTTCTCCAGTGAGGTCTAGAGGTGATGCCTTCTAGAATTCTCTATCCCTGCCCCCACCCCGGGGGGGGGTGCTTTTCATGCCTCCTGTTATTCCTGAATCCTTTAGGACTGAATTCTCTTGACTTCTTGCTACTTGTTCCCTTGTTACTCGAATTTTCTGTTGTACTTAGAAACCCTTTATAATGTAAACTTCTGTTGAAACTTCTGTGAGATTAATGTCTCAACTAAACTATGACTGATACAGTAGATAACCAAACAGTATGTTTGATGCTAGTTTAATTTGACAGGGAAAATACACAAGTTACCTGAGAGAGAAAAAGTAAGACTTAGAAGAGTCTATACCAAAGACAGCACTAAAAGTACTTCTGCTTTATTTCTTTGGATAACTTTATTTTCCATAAAGAGAGTTCTATTTGTACAAAGGAAAAAAGTTTTATTTTATTTTGCTTACATTAGCTATGGAGGGGTTATGCTTACATGTTCACACATGTTGACAATATATTTCAATTAGTCTTACTTAGTCATTCTCCCTTTTCCCCTTCCTGCTTTCCCAAAATATTTTCCACAGGTTTCATTATTCTACTAAGAAAAATATTTTAGAAGGAAAAAAAATCGTCTCATATTAGCTTATCAAAAAGAAACTGCGCCTGTCTAAGCAAGTGTTCAAAATTTCATGTATATTGTCCCGTTGTCATGAGCTGAGTAATTCTCTGAAATCTTCTGTGATTACACTGCTTTTTAAATCTACGAATGACTAGTTCTTTAACACCAATTTCAGGAAAGAGAGTCTGAGGCAATGTTTTTTTTTCACATGAATAGGTTTTAGGGAATGTAATGTAATCCCAAAAGAAAGGTGGGAAAAGAGACCAAGGCAGGGAAGAAGGAGAGCCAATATGGGGTTCATGATGATGCTAGCTTCTGCCAATTATAACTTAATATGATGAGAACATGCCTCTGAGACATAGTATTGCCTCTTCTTCAGATCTCATCTATCAGTAATACTTCCTCTTCCCTCCTATACTTTCTAGTTGTAGATGGATGGACAAGGTATCTAAAGAAATCCCATAATGAAAGCCACGTATGTAATCGTAGCTACTCGGGAAACTGAGAACTGAGGGTCACACTTCAAAGCCAGCCTGAGCAGGAAAATCTGCAAGACGCTTTAATTTATCCACAAAAAGTTACAAATGGAGTTGTGGCTCCAATGTTAGAATACCAGCCTTGAGTGGAAAAGACAAATGGGCACACACACACACACACACACACACACACACACACACACACACACACACATCTCATAGCAGAAGCAATAAGAAGTCTCAAGCAAGAAATGAGAAGCACAAGGCCAGATGAGAATCACAGGTACTCTTAGACTGAAGTAGAAATCAGAGAAATTAAAAAGAAAAAAATAGGTAAGATTAAGAGGCACCAAAGTGATAAGTTAGAGCTGTCTGAAACACAATTTTTAAAATATTTCCAAGAAAGAAATGATTTGCAAAGCATCTACTATTGTGCTCTTTCTTAAGTAAATGAATAACATATCCCCTTGCCTTTAAGAGTGTGTCAGAGATGCTCGCAAATTAAATGTTTCTGAAACGAAAGAAATAGTGAGGAGAATTGTAAACATGGATAATGAAATAGCGTTTCTAAAGAAGAGCATACAGGAGCTGAATCGTATGAATGAATCTCTACAGTAAGTATTGTATAAATCAGTACCTGAGCCTAGGGGTCTGGGGCTGGACTGGATAAACCCTGGTGAGGGCTTTGCCTTTTTAGCTGAACTGGGGCAGGGCAAGCCCACAGATCGGGATGAGTTGTAGAAGCTGAGCCAGGCTGATGAGGAGACTGGGGAGAGCAGAAATCTCCAATCACTGCAGCCGGGAGACCTGTGCCACTTCACAAGCGATCTTGTTTCTCAGCAGACTGTTTGGGAGGCTGGGGAAGCACATAATACTTGGACAATCATCTCTCATAGTAGAAGGAGATAGTGTTAATCACTCCACCTCACTCTAAAGATCTCTTGTTGGGATTATATTGCAAATATGTGTCAAACCAGGACTGTTGAATTCGGTTCCTCCAAAACATTCAGTTATTCGTCTTCTGGGGGCGGGGAGGGGACTAAGGATGGGGGTTGGCTTTTAGGAGAGAATTCCAGATTTTATCAGTATTTAATGAGATAAATTATGTGATTGTCTGGAGCCCCCGATCTGACAGCTCTTAGTGCCTTTCCCTTTCTTTCTGAGCTCCGCTGTCTCAGGCCAGCATTTTGCTCCATAGGCCTCCTTTGCTCCAAAATCTGTAAAATAGAAATCACCCAGAGAAACATACATACTGAAAGAAGAGAGCAATAAACCCCTTGGATAGCTTAGCACTGTAAGCAAATTTGCAAGCCTTTCTTTCTTTCTTTCTTTCTTTCTCTTTCTTTCTCTCTCTTTCATCCTTTCTTTCTCTCTCTATCTTTCTCTATTTTTCTCCCTCTCTCTGTCTTTTTCCTTCCTTTTCCCATCTTTCTCTCAACTGGGTTTTGAACTCAGGGCCTTGTGCTTGTTAGGCAAATGCTCTCCCTCTTGAGACACACCCTCAGAGTTTTTTGCTTTATTTTTTTCTGATAGAGTCTGAGGTTGATCTCACACTGAGATCCTCATGCCTATAACTCTTTTTTTTGAGGGAGGGGGTCTGGTCTTGGGTTCTGAACTCTGGGCCTGGGCGCTGTCCCTAAGTTCTTCAGCTCAAGGCTAGCGCTCTACCACTTGAGCCACAGTGCCACTTCCGGCTTTTTTATTTTTTTTCTGCTTATGTGGTACTGAGGAATCGAACCCAGGGCCTCATGCATGCAAGGCAAGTGGTCTACCACTGAACCACCTTCCCAGCCCCTATACCTCTTACATAATTGAATCACAGGCAGGACTACAATACCACCCCACCCAGCTTATTGATTGAGATGAAATTTCACTAACTTTTTGCCTGGCTAGATTCCTGTGTATATGGGATGACAGGTCGTGAACCACCATTATCAGCTAAACAAATCTTTAGGGAAAGGCAAATTATAAACGGAAGGTGATTGCTTGACAAGCTAACATTGCCAAACTATCACCATTTGTTGCCACTATTTTTCCAAGGAAGATTGTGGTCAAGGTACCCACAAACTCTAATGAGTGGTGATCATATTCCTTTCTCTGGGTGGCCCTGAGAGACTTGAAAGAGATCAGTCTTTCAGTGTGATTTCCCAGGTCCCACATTCTGCCTGGGGTGTGCTCTCGGTCCATTGCAGCATTACCTAGGTAGGCTTTCTGATCTGACTTCCCTGATTCTCCTCAATCCTGCCCTCTCACTCGGCATCTTCCCTGGGCCTCTTTTTATTACATTTCTATTAAGGAGATTGACCTCTGAAAAATAAATTGCCCAACAGCCTTTTTTGCATTTTCCTGAGCTTACAAGATCCCCTCACTCCAAACATATACAATTAAAGGTCTTAACCTTGGAGACCATATAAAAGAAAAAAAAAGTCCTTTATAGTGCAGGAGCTTTAAAAAGTAAAATGAAAAAAAGGCACTATTATCCTTTCTTCAAATCATTTTATAGTTAAACTTTGGGTTGGATCCAGCTCCCACCATTAAGATTTTTCCTAGTGTGGTCAGCAATGAATGTGTGAGGTTAATGATCCCTCTTGTGTTCAGATCTGTCTGAGAAGGTAAGAAAGCTCAAATGAGCTCTCCAGCAGGTCTGTTTGTAAAAATAGCTTTATCTTGGATACACCATATAAGGCTATAGCAGCAACGTCGCTGGAGATGTGATAGGGTTAATACCCTTTTTTTTCTTAATGACATGCCTGGGAATGATAAGACAGACATGAGGATGATACATAGCAAAACATTCATCTGGCCAGATCCCACTCACCTGTCCTAAGTGATGTTAGCTTGATGCTATACTTTATCCAAAATATTCTGCAATTACTACCTAGTACGTGAGGATGTATGGGTGAGAGGACCGGATTGTCCCTTGTCCTATGTTCTGTCTTCATCCCAATCAAGTGCAGATCAGAAACACAGCTAGAAAATAAACATCCCATTCCCTTTCTATGAGAACTCACCTCACCAGACTTCAAATTCCTTTCCCAAATGCCATTCTTTTCAAGCTGGAAGTGATTCTTTCCCCGCAGTGAAAGGCAAGAAGGGCTGGCAAAGGAACATCAATATTTTGTCCAGAACCTCAACGGCACAATGGAAGAAAAAGCTATGGTTAATGTTTTCATAAACGAGACCTATCACACAATCAGTAAAAAGAAAGAAGAAGTAGCGGAGCAAAAACAATGGATACAAGACACACACTGTGTAATGGAAAAACATGAATCACAATATTTATTAAAAAAAGAGGAAATACAGACAAAGGTAAGTGGCACCACATATTTTTTAAATACAGAATTATCTAGAAGCTGGAGGAAGAAATAGGCAATAATGTATTTGTCCTCAAGGGTGGTAAAAGATTTTTGTTGTCTTCTGTGTCATTGGGACTGGCAAAGAGTGGAAGGCTTGGGAACATTTGGAACCTCTTCATGAAGATACTTGATTGTGTCCCAGGATCTCAGTTCATGGAAAAAAATATCAATGGTAGGATTTGTGTGACACTGGGTTGTTCCATAGCCTGAGATCAGATATTTTCCACCATACAGTCTCGTTGCTCTTCGCATTCTTGGACAGGACCAGGAAATCCATGTGCCAGTGCCTGCTTTTCCTTCCAAATGAATCTGAAAGAAGAGGGACCTTTTGCTGGCCAGTCATATCTGGAGCCTAAAGAGCAAACACTATGGAGACCAGCAATTCTGTGAGGGTGGGGTCTGTTTTCTTTTATTAAACTTTTGTTTCTGACAGAGGTTGCACCATGTTCCATGTGATGCTAAAATTAGGGAGAACATAGACCATGGCCAACTTGCTTGAGTCCCCTGCATCTGATGGACAGACCACACCTTCCATGGATTTATTGACATCACCAGCAAGTGCAAGTTTTAGAACAAGGTTCAAAAGAGACATTGGCATTTTCATACCCTGCCACAATAGCACTGAGGAATATTTGCGCCCCTCCCACTGTGTCTGTCCCTCAGCTAGTTTCTATTCCCTCCAGCAAGTCCAGAATCTTCAAGATGGCTCTAAACACTGAAGTTACAAAGGCAGAGAGTGAACATCTGACTGGGCATAAGTGGGCAAGGACTTCAGGGCAGTGGAGGAGTCAGGTGGGGATTCCTGTCCCTTCACATCTCCTAGGACCAGAACAGTCAGTCAAGGTGGCAAGTCCTATGTCTGGTTTCTTCACTGGCATATCCTAGCACCAAGAATAGGGCCTGCATACCAAAGGTAGGCATTTGAACTTCTAAGCTCTACAGGGAAGAGTTTTTGTTATTGTTGTTTCCTGTCTTTCAGTTTTCTAATACAAATGTTAAAACCTTCCAAAGGAAGCTCAGAGGGTCTTCATATAGGAAATTCCCAGATCTGATGGGCTTGTCTGTAACCTGGACAGCCAATCTGAGTCACACCGCCAAAATATGTAATTATTCAATGAATCCAAGTCAGAACAAGGCACACTTAATCCCTAACTTCCTGGCTAACACATCAAATGCATTTCCAGGACATTTAGAGCAACTAAACAACCTCAGATCTTGCACCTGGAAAGAGAAGAATTCAGGCAAGATGCGAGCATAAGCAAAGATGATAGAAAAGTTTATTAGACAACACACATGACAGAGAAAGAGAGCCATAGCATAGGCATACCACAGGGAAGATGGCATTTAGCTTATGTCTGCCATCTTGGGCCATCTTCAGCCATCTTCTCTTCATTACAAGAGTTGGTCTGGGATCAAATGGTGAGAATTGGATGGCTTTTTGATTGGCTGCCTCCTTTCTGTTGCCTGTAAGGTTGTGGTGCCAAAGATTTACTGTCCCATCCTTATCCTCTCATACTTTTGTCTTCTTTTTAAACTTTCTCATTCCTTTGTAGCCCATCCCCACCCCCCACCCCCATTTCATTGTCTGGCAGATTTTGGTTTATCACCTTATTTTGCCATTTGAAAGCTATATCGACTACACCTTCCTGCCTGTTTTCCTTCTACTGCTATATGACTTCTTCCTTGTTGTTATGTAAAATCTTTTCCTGTAAAAGGCCCAATAGTCAATATTTAAGGCCGTATAGTCTCTGTCACAGCTACCCACTTTTGCCATTTTCCCACGGAAATTGATATAAATAATAACTAAATAAATGTGAGTGATTTTACATGGATGATCGTAGCTAGATTTGGCCCATAACACCTTACCACAGGTTTGTCTCCCAGAAAGAAGGCTCCATTGAAAAGGCTATCAGATACGAGGAGAAAGTCCTGGTTCAAGCTGGCTTAAACTGGTACAGCTGGCTCTTGATTCACCAACAGTAACTAAAGTGGGTCTCCATGACTAGTTAGTGCAGTGACTCATCTTCCCTTCCACCTTCCGTTCCAGTGTGATCTCCCTCACGGTTCTCTATGAGCCCTCCTCCACTGTGTCTGATGGGGTAGGGGCACAGAGTGCTCAGTCCTGGAACAGCAATGAATCCTTAAGGAGAGTCATGTGCCAATAGGTTAGACCAACTGAGGCTAAAGACATACGACAGGTCTCGTCACATCAGTTCATTTCCTTACTTCCTTGATAAAGGAAAACCGATCACAAATGTCAGTGCATCTTCAAACCCATCAGATCATCCCTACCTAAACAAAATATTGTTTGCTCTGTAATTATAAGACATTGGGAGAAGAATCTAGCCAACCAAAGTATGCATGTGGATTTCTAATTTTCAGTGAAACTGATTAATCATCACATTTTATTTACGTTCCTTTCTGCCTTGATACAGAAATAAGTGAGTAGGATCACATTCATTCAGAGTAGCTACTTTAGATGAAGTAGTTGCTGGATTAAATGGAAAGTTTTCAGATGTAGATTTTCACAGTTCTTGAATACAGACTTGAATATCTTTCTTAGATTTTCCTACTTATTACCTTATCCTTGATCACTTGTTTTGCAGGCAAATCTATTTGATTTTGATAAGGAAGTCATCACCCATTTTATTAGGGTCTGGCAATGATCAGAATCTGTTTGATCTTGGGCTGAGAGTGTGACTCAAGCGGACGAGCACCTGCTCAATGTGAGGCTCAGAGTTTCAAACCTCAATTTAACCCCCTCAAAAAAAAGTTTAAAAGAATATATTGATTTTGGTAAAATGAAAATAAATCATCCAGGGTTAGAAGCTACCTTTTCTTTGCTGATTTTTTTTGTGCTGTCTTTATTTGGTTTTCTTTCTCATTAATAATATAAATTTAGAGACCTAGAAAATTCCTCAGTTTTCTTTGACAATCCTAATCTGTCTAGTCATTGTAAATTTTGCAACCAATACTAAGGGTTTTGCTCATAAATCACGACAATGATAATTTTATATATATATATATATATATGGGGGTTTGAACTTAGAGCCTCACGCTTGTGTTAGTTTCCTTACTCAGTTGATGTTCTACCATGGGAGCCATGCTTTCAATTCTACTTTTAGGAGATAGAATCTTGTGCTCTTTTCTTCCCAGTCTGGCTTCAAACTACAGTCCTCCAGATATGAGGATTTATGGCTACTTCCAAGTAGCCATACTTAGAGGTGTGAGCGAACATCTATTAGTGTTATTGCTATTAATGTTTGTTAACAGCACTAATAAATGTTATTAATGATAATTCATATTATTGCCCTTGTAATTTACTATTTCATTTTTGAATATAATTTAATCCATAGAGTCCATCATTTATATTTGATCTTGCAAAATAAATGAATTCTGATTTTGTTTTACTTTGTTAGTATATTTAGATTGACTAGAGCACATGTAAATTGAATATAAATTAAGTTGACAAATTCAAAAGATTTTCTAAACTCTTGTGCTAAATGGCTTTTTAATTGTTTTACTATTTGTCACTACAGATAAGTGAAATCAAAACTCAGTGTGAAACTAAGAGGAAGGAGACTTACATAAGGAAGAAAATACTCGATAGATTAAAAACAAAAATAAGGGAAATGAATCAAACAGTTACTGCTACCTCAGAGGTAAGAAAGGATAAACTATGTTGTATCAAGTCTGATCTGAGCATCTCATTAAAAAAAATTGACTTTGGCCCGTTGCAACAATAAGAAGTACAAGTTGTCATGTCGAAAACGAACTTTACAATTTTGGTGGGGGTGGGGGGGAGGAAGGATTGGGTGGGGGTCGGCAGGGGGGGAGGGGAGGATGGGAAGGGATGTGAAGGGCAAACAAAGGAGGAGGCTACAATGCTTGATAAGAAATGTACTCATTATCTTGCCCATGTAATTGTAACCCCTCTGTACAGTATGTTCACAATAAAAAATAAAAAATAATTGATTTTGGCATGGGAGGGGAGATGGGGAGTGGGGGGGGTGGGCAGATGGGAAGGGATGGGAAAGGGAAACAAAGGAGGAGGCAACAATGCTTGGTAAGAAATGTACGCATTATCTTGCTCGTGTGATTGTAACCCTTCTGTATGATATTTTCATAATTATATATGCATATATATAAATTGATTTGAACGCATCTTTATGCTATTCTGGAAGAGAAGTTTTGACATGTTAACGTTTTCTGACATTCTGTGTGGGGTGGGTGGGCGTGCCAATACTGGGTCTTGAATTCAGAGCCTCATGTTCCCCCTGGCACTCTACCATTTAATTCAGACCTCCACTTCTAGCTTTTTGGTGGTTAATTAGAGATAAACATCAGTTGAATCTGTGTGCCCTAGGCTGGCTTAAATAGTAATCCTCAGATCTCAGCCTCCTAAATAGCTAAGATTACAGGTATGAATCACTAGCACCCAGCTTCTGACTTTTTATTTTTTAAAGAATCACAGTACTGTGCTTTTCTTCTTTAGGAATATAGTGGGCAGAGGAAGTTTTGGTTGTCTTTGGTACAAACTGTATATGAATAGCTCAAATACTATGAGTCATTGATTTTTTTTAAATCCTCTAAAACTAGCTAACTATGTGTGATAACCTTACAATCTGCATTAATGTGAGGTAGAATTAACTTGAAAAACAGACCATTTGTCTACTTGAATTACAGAAGACCTCACAATTTTTCAGTTTGTTTGTTTTTAATTTTTGGTCAGTGGCGGTGGGTCTTGAACTCTGGGCCTGGGTGCTGTCCCTCAGCTCTTCGGCTCAAGGCTAGTGCTTTGCCACTTGAGACACAGTACCACTTCTGGATTTTTGGTGATTTATTGGAGATAAGGGTCTCATGAACACTCCTGCCTAGGCTGGCTTTGAACTGTGATCCTCAGATCTCAGCCTTCTGAGTAGCTAGGATGACAGATGTGAGCCACTGGCACCCAACTAGTTTAATTTTTTTAAATCATCACATGTATTAAAAACCAGCACGGTAACATGTATTTGTGAGGATTTTCTTTATTTTAAAAATCAGAATATTGATGTTATAGAAGGTGACTGCAAGTATGAAGAGGTTAGTATCATTAATATCATTATGTACTCTGTATCAATCAAAGCAGAAATACCTTCTACCACAATTAGTTGAATGAATCATTAGAATATCTGTTCTATGTGTATTGAAAATCATGTAAAACCAAGCTCATGTCACAGTGACACAGAATCATGGCTCTGCTCACTTTAATTACAGTATATCAGTTATATCCAATTAGGTAACAGTTATAAAAAAATAAAATATTTGGGGCTGGGAAGATGGCTCAGTGGTAGAGCACTTGCCTTGCATGCTCGATGCCCTGGGTTCGATTCCTCAGTACCACATAAGCAAAAAAGCCAGAAGTAGTGCTGTGGCTCAAGTGGTAGCGTGCTAGCCTTGAGCTGAAGAGCTGAGGGACAGCGCCCAGACCCAGAGTTCAGACCCCATGACCGGACCCAAAAATAAAATAAAATAAAATATTTCTCCCAATATGGGCATTTAAGGTATCTGGTTTTGGATTGTGTGTGTGTGTGTGGTACTGGGATTGAATCCTAGACCTCACACATGCAAGCACTCTATCGCTTGAACTATACCCCCGGCTTTTTTTGCTATTAGTTTTCCAGGTAGGGGCTCGTGAACTTTGTCCTAGGTGGCCTTGCACTCCATACCCTCCCGCTCTCACTTTCTGAAGCTAGAATCACGGGCTTCTGCCACCATGCTTTCTCGTTTTTTACATTTCAACATAGTAAGGATGAATAAATCAGACCAGATTTACAAGAAAATATAGAAGTGACACAAACCATATTTTGCCTGTATGCTCGAGTTTATATTTCCAGTTTGGGCCTAATAGATCATAAATCAAACACCCCACAAAACCTAACATGGGGAAATTAAATATATGTTCCTTAATTTCTATCCCAAGATCTGTAGGGCCAAATTAGATGGCAACTATAAACTCATCCCAAGTCGTCCTCCATCTTCTCAGTCCAGCCTGCCTGAACTAGAATGGTATATAAAACTAGTGTGTATATAATGTATATTACAAATATGTATACTATGTATATTATACATGTATGTTTATATATATTATATATATTCTTTGCCTGTTGCAAAGAATTTTTGTGGAGAAAAAAATGTTACCATGCTTATTATCAGGCTATTAGCTCAGGGCTTTGTATTTGGTAATGATTCCACATCTGGTTATGGACCCAGACCACACGGAAGTTAAGATTTTTGTTGCTGTTTTGAGAAACAGTCTCACTGTGTAACACAGACTGGCCTGTGGTTTTTCTCAAACTCATAATTCTCAACCTCCTAAGTGCTAGAAGTTCAGATTAACCTACATGTAGCACTTTTCCGTTGTAAGACTCTAGCCAGGTCAAGGTGATGCAGTGTTAGCAGAAGAGAATAAATGGGTGGGATTCTAGGGCAGGCCACACATTCAGGTAAAAATGACTGACACCTAGAAGTAACACGTCAAGAGAAACAGACCTTCAGCATTAGCCATGAGCCTGATAATTTATCAGAGATTTTTCAACACGCTAACTTTGATGGCAGTCCTAGAACTTCAGGCTCCTATTAACTCTAGTACTAGCTGTGGCCCACAAGTTTAGCCTTATAGATGCTCTAGAGAAAGAAACTGCTTTGAGTAGTTTTCACGCACCTATTGTACACCCACAGGTGTTTTTCTTACCCCACCAATGTCCAAAGCTAGATAGTTTAAATAATCTGTCTCCATGTCAGAGAGATGTGATGGCTGTCTTATTTAACACTTTGTTTAAGACCAATTTATTTGAAGCTGAGAGCTGGTGGCTCACATCTGTTAACCCTAGCTACTCAGAGGCTGAGATTAAGGGCTTGAAGCCAGCCTGGGCAAAATATAAATGAGACTATCTCCAATAAACTACCTTCCCCTAAAAATAAACGCAGAATAAAAGCTAGTGGTAAAACACTACCCATGGGCAAAGGAAGCTAAAGTACAGCTCCCAGGCCCTGAGATCAATCCAGCTCAAGGACTGGCATAAAAATAAATAAGTAAGTAAATAAATAAATAAGAACAATGTATTTGAGCAACCTTCCCTCATCTATTTTCTCTCATAAGGTGAAATGAATTTGTTTGATTTCCCTCTTCTTTATACCACAACTTCATTGTAAAAGTATCTGTTCTACTATTAATTTTCCCCAACAATTTTCCATCTTTTAAGGCCCAGTGTGTGTTCATTCTTTCTCATATTAACCTGAGATAATACCTTGAAGATAATTATGACAATACTAATTGTCATAAAAGTAAGAATTTACTTACATTTTCAAAAAATGTTAGATAAAATTTGTTCTGTATTACAAGTTTTTAAAATTTATTTAATAGTGTTCACATTCTCATTGCTGTGTTCAGTCATCCATCACATTTAAGTTTAGGTTTTCTGATGATTTTACTATTATTTTTGACCAAATTTAATAATTATAAGGATTAGAGCGCTAGCCTTGAGCTGAAGAGCTGAGGGACAGCGCTCAGGCCCAGAGTTCAGGCCCCACAACCAGACCCCCCAAAAATAATAATAATTATAAGGATTACTTTTTTCCTACTAAAGGATAGTCCCAGTGTACATAATGAATGATTCATGAATATTTAGTGAAATGGAACTGCTGTTATGAATCATTTGATGATAATTGTATGTCATACTTCTGTTGAATTTCCAATAGGATGTTAGTGAGCACAATTTAGAGACATCACGATTACAGTCAGCAATAAAGACCTGGCAAGAGCAGGTTGAAAATATGAAGAAAGCTTGTACTGTTATGGACGGAAAAATGTGAGTGGTATTCCTTTTTACTGAAGTAAGTCTAGTTTTCTACCATTGGTTAAACACATGAGACAACCACTTTACAAAGACAAAAGGTATATTTTGGTTCCCAGTTTTTTTCTTTTCTTTTATTGTAAAGATGCTGTTCAGAGGGGTTACAGTTACATGAGTAAAATAATGAATAAATTTCTTGTCCAGTATTGTTACCCTCTCCTTTGTTTTTCTCCTACTACCCCTTCTTTCCCCCATCTCCTCCACTTCTCCCCCCACCAAAGTTGTGAATTCATTTCCAATATAGTGTCTTGTAAGTATCATTGTTGCAATGGGTCATCCTGTGTCCTTGTCTCAGCATTTTGTTATTCCCTTTCTCCTCCTCAAATTAGATAAATGTATATACAAGATGCAGGGTACCAAAATCAAATACAGTGACAACAGGGGATTTACCATAGGAGGAAGAACATACAAAAGAAACAAAAAAAGAAATCACATAGTACAGTAAAAACAACAACAACGAAAAACCTCTTGTGTCCATATCTTGGGGTTCATTTTGCTTAGCAGCATCTTATATGGTCATATGTACATAACTTCTGAGCTTTTCTGCTCATCTGCTAAGATTATCCTAGACATATACTAATTGTTGCAAATAAGGAAAACCACAGGACCTATAAGGTTCCAGTCCATGATCATTTGGCTCCATTGTTTGGTGCCTATGGCAAGGCAGCACATGATGGTAACAATGTATAGCAGAGAAAATCCATTTACCTCATAGTCAGGAAGCCAAAGGAGGAGGAAGCCACTGGGGTGATAGAGTACTTTCCATGGGCGTGTCAGCCAAAGGCCTAAAGGCCTCCCATGAGGCCCCATCTCTTAAAAGCTCCACAATCTTCCAGTATTAAGTCTTTAATATATAATCCTTTAAGGGATACTTAAGGTTCCCCAGTCAATATGCTACTCTCATTTTTAAATATGTCTTTAATACTTCAGTGGAAATTATATTTGCTTAGTTTACCCAGATTTGTGTGAGAGCTTCACAGAATCACCTGTTCATTTTGAGATTAGCTAGTCTTACCGATGACCAAGAGAATTTTTTTTAATGAGGATGATGTCATCACTTTGGAAAAATGGAAAAACTCAGAATGTGTTATCCTCACTTCCATTCATGACTCCCTACAAACAAAACTGCCAGAAAAGGAAGTGTTGTGGGGATATGTTGTTTGTTATATGCTGTTTATACTTAAAGTGGCCTACAGAACCTGCTGAGAAAATACAAGCAGGCCTTGTAGAAAAATATTCCCTACGTCCAAAAGCTCACATCTGTGAGCTTTCCCTCATGAAAGTACCTTGTTCTCTTTATCTGCGTCCAGTTTTCTTCTTGGACGACACATAGCAAAGCCCGCCTCTGCCAAACCTTGGGAAACGACCTGTCACCTATTTTCAGTTTTGGTACTAATTAAGCTTTCCTACTTCTGAAATCTTATGATACTAGGTATAAACATTACTTATTTATACATATTATATATATATGTATATACCATAATTGATTTTTTTCTTTTTTTAATTTAATTTAATTTTATTTGTGAACATACTGTACAGAGGGGTTACAATTGCATGGGCAGGATAATGCATACATTTCTTACCAAGCATTGCAGCCTCCTCCTTTGTTTACCCTTCACATCCCTTCCCAGCCTCCCCCCTCCCCCACCGTAATTGATCTTAAACAGAGTTTTTAATGTTCTACAACCCTGAAACAGCTCTTCTCATTGACATTCCAGGTCATTTAATGTAACACCACCATTGACCTCTGTATCCAAACTAAAAAAGCCTAGGAGTCATTCACTACTTCTGCTTTCCTCTTTACCTAGCCCTAACCCATTGCAGTTACAAATGGTTACAAATCCAGAGGCTCATCTTATTACCCTCATCCTTGATCTATATCTAGACTGCACTTAATGCTGCCTGTGATCACTAAATTCTTAATCTGACTACAACTGTAGCCTTACCACATAGTTTGTTCTCCCTCGCTGTTATCTTTCTCCACAAAGTAACCAGACTCACTTCTATAAGATCAGAATCCATTTTTTGTTGCTCTTGTGTCTTAAAAAAAGTCTTCCCTTGAACTCTTATTTTCAAGTCTTTATCCCTTCAACCTTATGAAATCTTTTCCTTAAATACAGCAAGCTTAGCCTTGAGCACAAAAGCTCAGGGACAGGGCCTCACGATCGGCATAAAAATAATAAAATTTAATAAATATTGCCAGATGTAGCCTGCCTCTGGGTTTTCTCCTTTGCTGTCTCTTCTTCCTTCTGATCTGTTCATGGCTGGCTCCTTACCACTCAGCTTATCCACCAGCTGTCCCTAACCACTTGTCCGGAGGAGCATTCTTATTCTCAAGACCTTAGTCTTCTGTACCCTACTCCGTGTTCTTTGGAACATCTAACACTTTCTGAAACATATTATTGATTCTTTGATTCCTTGTGTCTATTATAACAACTCCATTAGAATGCAATTTCCATGAGAGCTGTGGATTTTGCATACATTCTATCCCTAATACCTACAACAGGTCTGGCAGAGTCTAGGTGTTTGACAATTGATTTTTGAATGAATGAATAAATAAAACATCAATTTACTAACTCAAAAGAGTAAAAGAAAGTTCTTCCTAGTAAATATAGGCTGGAACTTTCAGATGCTATAAGTAAATTTTTCTTTGCTGAAAAACAAGTCCTAATGTGACTCTGTTGATTTCCTTTGTTCATAGGAAATTTTTTGCAAAACACAAGGAACAAATAGACATAACAACTACTAATGAAAAAAGTGAATATATGAAAAAGATAAAAGAGGTAAGAAGACAGCAGTGATAGCTTTCAGATTATGGTTACATTTTGTTCTTAGTTAATATTTTAAATATGTGTGAGAAACGTGCAATTTTAAAGTTGACTAATAATTATGATTGTCAACAAAAAATGGATTGAAATATTTTATCTCCTCCCAATGTATTTTAAATATGTGAAATAGCAAAGGCTGTCCATGTGAATAGAAATTGTCTGTGAAGTGTGATAATTTTACACTAGCAATATCTGTTATTAATGGATATTTTGTGTAAATTATTTACAGAAACTATGATCTTGCTATTTTGCAGGTAAAGTATAGCAAACTGTTCCATATTTATTAAAATTAGTGTTTATTAAAAAGTATTTCAGTCAAGGTTAGCCCTAAGGAAAGTACATTTTGTTTTATTTTTCTTCTTTGTTCTTCTGAGTTTGTTTTCTTTCTCTTTTAATTTTTTTAATGTTTTGTTTTTAGCTCTAGATTTTTTGCATTTTCTAGACTTTTTGAACTCAGTTTAAAAATATTTTATTATAATGAAGTAATTGAGTCTAAGCCAAGACTTATTCACCAACCTTCATTAGAATAATGAAAACTGGAGTAGGAGGAATATGATTTTGTACCTGAGGCTTGAACTCAGAACCTGAGTGCTGTCTTATAGCTTTTCCACTCAAGGCTGAGGGCTTTACCACGTGAGCCATAGTTCCACTTCCAGCTTTTACTGGCTAATTAAAGATAAGACTCTCAAAGACTTTCCTGCCAGGCTAGCTTTGAACTTTGATCCACCTGAGTAGCTAGGATTATAGTTGTGGGCCACCAGCACCTGAGTAATACAATTAAAATCCAACAAAAGAGACTTGAATAAATATTAGTCATGTTTGCAGTATATTATTGAGTGATGATTGCATTATAAAACCTACTGTGATATGGTCCCATTTGTTTATGTACATGCACAAATATACAGACACACCAGTGATAACTGAACTTCTCTTTACTCCTGGCATTGAAGAAGAAATGCTCTTGTTATCTCTCTCTCTCTCTCTCTCTCACACACACACACAAAATACATTTGCAAATGTAACTTCCCTAGTCCTAGCATTGTAACATCATACCTTTTGTCTATATCCTCTATCTCTGTCTTATACTATGTCAATCAGGTTATAAAATTCATCTCTTTCACTATATTTTCTAAAACAAATGTAATCACAAACATCTTGGGATCTCTTGCAAGCTTGGTTGGGAATTTCAGTTGTTACATGAAAGAATCTCACTGAAGAGCACATTGTAGGGGTGGGGGCAGGGTGAGAGGGCAGTACTCAGTTTTAAACTCAAGAGCCCTGCTAGTGCTTGCTAAGCAAATGTCCTGCCACTTGGTCCATACTTCCAGCCCTTTTTTGCTTTAATTATCTTTCAGTTACAGTCTTATAATTTCACCTGGGCTGATATCAGATCATGAACTTGTAGACATGCTATGATGTCCAACATATTTTTGAGATGCGGGGCAGGGGTGTGTGAATTTCATTTGCTCAAGGTTGGCCTTAAAGGGAAATCTCTGCTACTGGAATATCTGCTACTTGATCTCTGCTACTTGAATATCTGGGATTACAGATACGAACGACTACACTGGTCCCTCATTCATCCCTTGCTGTAGGAAGTGTGCTTACCTCCCTGTTACAAAGCAAAACATCTCTTTCCATCTGAGGCCTGCACCCAGGCCTGTAAATCAGCGGAGACCTTCAAGCACTTCCCACCCAGAAGAATGACCTCCATTGCTTGCATTCTTTCTAGTTTTGGTGCTGTGAACCTTCAGCTATACAGATAGTTTTCCTTTAGAGCTAGTAGCCCTATTCTGATCCTTTTGGCTGAAAGTGCAAATGAGACAAGGTTCATTGGGTGGTCAGTTTTAAACTTGCCTTTTGTTTTCTGAGCAAAATATGTTTTTCTTTCCATTTATCCCCCTTTCTTTGTAGACGCTTCGACAGCCTTCAGGCAATGGCTCCACATTCCCCAGCTTTCACAATTATCTAATAGTCCAGGACCTATATGCTGACATAGTTCTTGTGTTTAGAAGGGCACATATAGAGAGATTTCCCTTCCATTATTAGCTCTCAGCCATATGCCAAGGATACAAGTGAGTAATGATTACCAAGGGAGGAGGCCTTGAACCATTTATTGTTTGTACTAGGGTAGAAACTGGACTGTTTGAGGAATCTATCAGAATTCTCCTGCGTTATTGAAGACCAGTTCAAAGATGACATTTAATTCTATTAAGGGTAGAGCTTTCACTTTTCTTCCCAATATCTCCCCTTGTCTTCTACCTCTTCCCACCGCAGCCCTTCCACTCTCAACTTCTGCACCGTCAGCTTTTCAAGCTTCCACACAGAAAAAACACAATGCAAGATTCGTATTTCTGTGCCTGGATTATTTCACTTAACGTAATGTCCTCATTTATGTTGTTTCACACAATAGGATTTTATTCTTTTCTAAGTCTGGACAGTATTCCCTGTGTGCATAAACCACATTTTCATTATCCACTCGCTCACTGATAGATATGTGGCAGGTGCTTCAGTGAACACAGGAGTGCTGGTGTTTCTTCCACACACTGTTTTCGTTTCTTTTGGCTCAGTAGGAGTAGCCTAATGTTTTTGTTATTAAATATTATATTCACCTGGAAAAGTTCTGTAAATATATAGTATCTGTGTATATATTTAAAAAACCTTTGGTGAATTTGTTATTCATTTGAATAACAGAAATACATTGGTCTTTTGCTTCTTGTGTGTAAGAGAGAGAGACAGAAAGAGAGAGGAAGAGAGAGGGGGGTGGAAGAGGGAGAGAAAGAGGACAGAAAGTATCCTGGGGCATGAATTCAGAGCCTGGGTTCTGTCTTTTAGCTTTCTGCTAAAGTGTTGAGTTCTATCACTTGAGCCATACCTCTGCTTCTGGTTTTTTGCTGAAGGACTGGAAATAAAAATTGCATGGATTTGTCTGTCTTGTTTCAAAATTGCGGTCATCAGATCTCAGCCTCCTGAGTAGCTAGGATCAGAGGCATGCATCACCAGTGCTGGGGTCACATGTCTATACATTTTACATCACTTATTGGACAGGGTCCAAATAAATAACTGACATTTTTACATCAGAATCAAGTCACTAGGCATTTACAGCATATTTGGGCAGGTGACCTGTGTTAGTCACTGGAAGTTGCTTGATGTACCGTTCCTCTATTGAACCATGAACAAACCTCTCAGACAACTCTTTTGTTTTTTCTCTAGGTGCTAACAGACATGCAGAAAGCCCAAGTTGAGAACAAAGATCTACGTGGGAATATGTTTATTGTTTCCAGACAACATAAGAATTTCTTAAGTGATGAGGAAAAAGCTTTTATGCAATACAAGAAGCTCTATGAAGAGTATGTTTGTTCTCATGATCCCTACATTTGTCAATGTGTCATAGTTAATGGGGTGTTGTACTTGCTGTCCAATTGCTGGTTCCCCACTAAACTCATCCTAGTTTTAAAACCTACTAACCACAATGAAATGTTCTTTACCCAGCAAAAAGTAAACATGCTTCTAATTTGGGCGTATAGTGCCAAGTAATACTCTTTGTCACACCAAATCTATTTTTAAAAAACAAAGACTTATCAGTTTTTTGAGAGAACAGTTGTGTTTTTATTTTGTGGGTCTAGCCAGAGAAAATATGAGATCTGTCTTCATTAAAAATAGCTCAACATAGAGCCGGGTGCCAGTGGCTCACATCTGTAATCCTAGCTACTCAGGAGACTGAGATCTGAGGATCACGGTTCAAAGCCAGCCTGGGCAAGGAAAGTCCATGAGACTCTTATCTCCAATAAACCACTAGAATACCTGAAGTGGCGCTGTGGCTCAAGTGGTAGAGCGCTGCCCAGAGTTCAAGCTCAACATGTATATTTTCTTTTTTTAGAGAAGGGTTTAGTTATTGACACAGAGATTTAGAAATTTCTCTTAAGGAATCACTTACCTTTTACTACCTATTTGACTCCATTTAGTCATCAAGGTTTGTTCATTTCACTTCCCAAACATATCTATACTGCTTTCCAGCTGTATTTTTTCCAACTGTATTTTGCTCCTTCATGTCTTTGTTTTGGCTTGCCTCTCAAATTTTTTTCCCATTTTGTCATTTTTCATCTCAACTTGTCTACTTTCTTTCCACACTACAAACATTACAACTGATTACAACAAACTCTTTGTCCCCTGGACTGCAAACAAATCAGAGAAGTCACGCTATCTTACCCCTCTGTACACTTAGGACCTCATACATTGCCTAAAAAGTAGTGGATATTCACCAATGTTTTCTTTATGAATATCAGAGCATTCAATTATACGATAGTTATTCCTACACTCAAAGCTAAATCTCACAGTAGTGTAATTTTGGTAGCTAGGCCTACTTACCCTTAGCTAAACTTATGTTCGTTGCTATAGTACTTAAGCTACAAAGGATTGTTACAATCCTTGTGTTGATTTTGTCCAATTGCATGGAGTACTGAGAGTGATAGTGTTAGAATTCTTCACACAAAGACGTTTCCCAGATGAATACTAAGTTGTCATTTGGGATCATAAGATGTACTGATGATAAGTAACAGTAGCCCTAGGGTCAGCTATCCTCATGGGCTTTTGTCTTAGTCAACATAAGCTACCATAACAAAATGCCATTGACTGGTTTGCTTAAACACCCAGAGGCCAGGATTCCCTCCTACCAGCTTATATATGGCTGTTTTCTAGTTAAAGAGGAAGGAAGGGATGATTTTCCAGTATCATTTCTTACAAGGACATTATTCCCATCGTGAAGACCCCACCCTCCTGACCTTCTCAAAGACCCCGTGTTTATTATGGGCACAAATCTTATGAAAACATTGACTCCTTATGATGGTCATTTCTGTCATTCCAAATCATCTAAATTTTAATTTAGTTAATTTTTTTCTCACTGTGAAGCAATGCCAGCATTCTATATTTAAATTCAAATACATAAATGTGTAAATGTAGAAAGTGAAAGCTACTTGAATCTTTCCACATTTGCGGTTAAGATTTCAAAATGTAAATTCTGGAGGAGGGGAATGGTTCAGTCCATCGCAGTTTGAAGGTGTGTCACTTTAATGCAGTACTCTCTGTTATGCACAGCCTCTTACCATAAACTTCCCCAGCCCTTATTATTCTCTCCTTCAAGTTGAGACAAATATGTCTTGACTTTTTTTTGGTTAGTTGTGGGGCTTGAACTCTGGGCCTGAGCACTGTCCCTCAGCCCTTCAACTCAAAGGCTAGTGCTGTACCACTTGAGCCACAGCGCCACTTCCTGTCTTGGCTTTTAAAAAGTCTCATTTGGTCTGTGTACTGCGTCAAGCTATTATTTAATCCTTTGATCCAGTAAGTTAGGTAGTGTAGATGTTTTATGAATGGTGGAACCTAACCACAGGTAGAGTTTCTTATCCAAGGTCGCACTGTTTTTAAGTATAGAGCCAGTACTCTTAAGTTGGTGTAACTAACTCTCCTTGCTCAGAATATCACGATGGAACTGACCTATACGCTTATCTCAGATGAGGTATGTACAATTGGTCTTGCTGCTTTGTGGTTTTATTTCAGTTAATGTTCTTTCAGTGGCTTGTAAATGTCCAACATTTTTATGAAAATTATATGTTGTAGCTACTGCTAGCAAAAATGTGTTGGTGTTTTTACTAGTTTATTTGATAAATCATTTGTATTCTAAACTTTCCAAATTACTTTTGTGTTTTTGGGTCCAGTCGTGGGGCCTGAACTCTGGGCCTGGGCACTGTCCCTCAGCTCTTCCGCTCAAGGCTAGTGCCCTATCTCTTGAGCCACAGCACCACTTCACGGCTTTTTTCTTTTTGCTTATGTGGTGCTGAGGAATCGAACCCAGGGCCTCATGCATGCAAGGCAAGCGCTCTACCACTGAGCCACCTTCCCAGCCCCTCCAAATTACTTTTGAAATTGTTCATGGTTTGCATGTTTTCTCACCCTGAGGAATTAAAAATGATTCTTTCTTGCCATCATGCATAAGTTGTTGGATTTGATCCTCAGCACTTTAGTTCAATCTTTAGGTTTTAGAAAAAAAAAATGGGAGGTCATTTCCACCTTCAACAGATAACTTTTTTTTTTAATCATGACAGAAACCAGAAACAAATAGCATTTATTGCTGAGAAAGAAAACTTCTTATCACAAAGAAAAATAGACATCAAAAACATGGAAGAAGGACTCACTGCACTTGAAGACCTTCACCAGTACTTGTTTGTTGTCCATGTGTTTGTTTGTTTGTTTGGGTTTATTTTGGTAGAGGTTATGGGGTTTGACCTCAGGTCTTTTAGGAAGGTCACTTGAGCCATGCCACCAGCAGTCTCTTGTTTTATTTTCCATTAGGGTCTTACATTTTTCCAGGACTGTCTTTAGCCCACAATCTTCCTAACAACATCTCCCACACAGCTGAGATTACTGTAACTTGTTATCATGCTTGGTGCCAATATGGTTTTTGTCTTTCATGTTTTTAATCTTCATCCTTCAGTGCATTTTTAACACATGATAACTATAAGCCTATGCCAATATCTAAGGATATTAATAACGGGCCCTTTGTTTCATAGTCTATATAAGTCATTACCATTCAACCTTTCATTATAGAAATAGATAGATCCTGAATTCTCATGATACTTTGGACACAGGTACATTTCAATGATGGAGACCAGTGGCCAGAATATGCCTGAGCATTAAACCAAGGCTGACCCTCTATTTTACATTTCTGTCATTTTAAGTCCCTTTAACTTTTATTTAAAATGTTTCTAATTAATAAAGTAGCATAAATGAAAAATCAATTATGTTTCTCTTATTTTCAGAGCAACAAATGACATATATCGAGAACAAATAAAAATCCTAGGGGATAACCTGGAAAGAGAAAATCAGAGATCGTAAGTACACATAGATAGATAGATAGATAGATGTGTGTGTTTATGAATAGTGTGTTATCAAGAACTCAAGGGTATGATTTTCCTGAATTAAGTTGCATCTAAGTTCTCTTAGATCTATATGTGTTTGTTAGCTTGAATTTTTGTTTTTTGACATTGAGCAGAACCACGGCTTTCCATTTCAACTAAGTGGAATGATCAGAGAGAGAAACTGAGCAATGCCTGGTGCTTGCTCAGGCTTCCATGTCCACCAGCAATGGTGGTAATGGATAGGGGAAAAGAGAAGAGTGCTTAAGACCCCAGGCTCTGCACATGGCCCCTGGTGGTTGTTCTTCCCTGCTAGCTCTGACCATGACTCACTTATTGAATCCCTTCTCTTTGCTCCCACCCCTGTAAAGTGAGGGATGGGAGTGGTTGTACCACATTACAAACCGTACTAAGGTGGTGAAGATCCATGGAAAGTATTTAGATCAAGTGTATCCAGCAGCCACTGGCTAATATTTAGCTGTATTTTACTGTAATGTTTTTGTTGTTGCTACTGACATTAACCTCATGATCTACGGTTCCAGTTGCACATTTTTACCATCCACCAAATTGGTAGCTTTTTTATGTGTGATAGATAAAATTGAGAAGCCCAGAATTTGAAATCTCTTCTTAGCACTTTGGGCAATTTGGAGCGTCCCCTTTTTATTTCTGCCTATGCTTCTTGCTTCTCCACACGCCCCTCAGCTTGCTCCTTGCCATGTTCCTTCAATGAAAGGCCTTGAGCTGTTTAGGGTTGTCTGTCTGCTGTTGTCTTGGACATAAGACAAACATTTCTCATTGGGGAGAAACTTTCAGAGAGAATACTGAGGAAGCTAATGTTTCCTCTTATTATTTCAGTGATTTGGGGGGACCTGCATTGTTAATGATCCAAGTTGTTTCTGAAAAATCAAAATAGCATATGTTTTGTTTGAAATTTCTTCATCTTCTTTGGTAAATTTCTGTGCTGTGGTAATTAGTTTTGGTCTGATCTCTAGTGTTATAAATCAGTGGAAAATAGCGTGTGCGAGAAAAAGGCATCAACGTTGGCTGACTGGTCTCAAGGGTGAGCTAAAAGATATTGCACAGCAAATTGAGGAGGCAGAACTGAAACGAATTGACTTATTGGAAGAGGTAAGGGAACTAAAGGTGCTTAGAATTAACATAGTTCCCTACGTTGCACATCAGTCCTTTCCTTTCAAAAGTTAATTAACTTCTTATATTAAGAGGTCTTCTTTCTGCTGACTTCAAGGTTAGAGTGAATTATTTTCCTTTCTAAGCAATGTGTCCAAAACCAGGAGATTGGTGGTTCAGACCTGGAATTGTATAATCCTAGCTATTTAGGATAGGGAGATCTGGGAATCACGGTTCAAAACCAGCTAGCCTGGGCAAAAAAATTCTGCAAGACTCTACAGTTAAGGCTGGGAAGATAGCTCAGTGGTAGAGTGCTTGCCTTGCATGCCTGAGGCCCTGGGTTCGATTCCTCAGCACCACATAAGCAAAATGAAAAAAGCCGGAAGTGGCGCTGTGGCTCAAGTGGTACAGCCCTAGCCTTGAGCTAAAGAGCTGAGGGACAGCGCCCAGGTCCAGAGTTCAGGCCCCACAATTGGACCCCCTCCCAAAAAAAAGGACTCTCCAGTTAAATTAACCAGCTAAAGAAAGAAAGAAGGAAGGAAGGATGGAAGGAAGAAAGGAAAGAAAAAAGAAAGAAAAGAAAGGAGGGAGGAAGGGAGAGAGGAAGTTAGGAAAGAAGGAAGGAAGGAGAAAGAAAAGAAAATAAAGAAAGGAAGGAAGGAAGGGGGAGGAAGAAAAGAAGGACAGAAAGGAAGAAAGAAAGAAAGAAGGAAAGAAGGAAAGAAAAAGAAAAGAAAGAACAAAAAAGGCAGAAGTGGATCTCAAGCAGTAGAACACAATAGAGTAAAAATGGTGAGTGAGAGTATGAGACCCTTAGCTCAAGTGCTGGTACCATCACATACACACAAAGAAGGAAATAATCTTAAAATAAATGCACGAGAGGAAATACAATTCAGTACTCATACATTTACTCTTTGCCCACCAACCATCCCAGAGCCTCCCACATCGCATGTCATTTGTTTGTAGATAATATATGGTGAAGAACTTAATATACAGAGGAAAAAATAATCTTTTCAGTAGTTACTGACAAATCACATAAACTGAAAAGTCATAGGCATCAATTTGCCTGGATGCTGAAAAATACAAAGCTGAACACTTACAAGAGAAATGATCTATTTCTTTTTTTTTCTTCTCTCTAATTAGACCACACAGAGACAAGAAGAAATCGAAGAATTTGTGGCTGAGATCGAAAGACTTTCAGTAGCATTAAAAGAGGAGAAGCACAAATTTGTTCGCAAACAGAAAAGGTTATTGAAAGAGTTAAACATGTATGAGGTAATTTTTGTATTGCATCTAAGTGTAATGTTGAATGACTGGGGGGCGAGCAAGATAAAATAATATTGCATGCTATTTTAAGTGGTTCCATGTAAAATAAAGAGGAACAAGAGAAAAGAGTGAAGAAAAGTAAAAGAACGTGAAGAGAATCATTTTCCCCCCCCAATGGGAAAAAAAATCACATACTTCAAATTATGCAGAAGTGCTGCCAGCATCTGCCTTGGGAGCAGTGGCACAGTACAGAAAGTGTGGGAAAATCGGAGAGAGTGAGGAGGAGGCGAGGAGACTAGTAAAGTACATCTCAGAAATCCTTCTTTAAAACAGGGTATTCTAGTGACTTGAAACCTTCCATATGCCAACCAGGGGTGAAGTAAGGTGTGAATTCCGGGGAAGGTAGAGAAAATTGGCAATGGAAGTGCCCAGTGGCCCAAAGATCACAAGTCAGCAGAACACAGCAAACGTTTGTACCTTTTCAAGATAAGGACACACCTTGAAAGGCTGGGGAGGGGGGGGGGGGGGAGGGCGGGGGGCGGGAATCATGAGTAGAGCAGAACCAGGAGGATGGTTATAGTGTTCTAGGAAAATCTAGTCCTGTTACTTTTTTTGTTGTTGTTGTCGGTTGTGGGGCCTGAACTCTGGGCCTGGGCGCTGTCCCTCAGCTCTTCAGCTCAAGGCTAGTGCTCTACCACTTGAGCCACAGTGCCACTTCCGGCTTTTTTTGCTTATGTGGTGCTGAGGAATCGAACCCAGGGCCTCAGGCATGCAAGGCAAGCGCTCTACCACTGAGCCACCTTCCTAGCCCTCGTTTAAACATTCTTTAAAAATAAGAACTACTAGTTCACTATATTATGTTGTCTGTACTTACTATGGGTAGCTCCTGTGTCTGCCACCATGTGGAGACTATTTTTGTTATTATTGCAAGTTTGAAATTTTATCTCTTTTCTGACTACAACTTTAATAATTTATCAAGAAGATAAGTCTCGGATATTTTTCACTAGCCAGTTCCTATGACAGAGAGTAGTAAGTCTTATCTCAGATTTAGGATCTTGGGTGATTCAAAATACATCTGCATGTATACATCTTTTGTATTTCATTGCATAGCATAACTGTGTATGGGCTTAACACAAAATGGTTGCTTTCTTAAAAAAAAATAGATATGGTTATCTAACCCAACATCCAAGGTCCAGAACCACTGTACAGATTTGAGATCTGAGGAGAAAGAACCATATCCAGGAAGTCTGTGCAGGTCTCAGAGCAGGAACCACTTTTAGAACTTACTGTCTTCCAGAATGATGATGGAAGAAATCAAAAGCATGTTCACACATACCTGGGGTTTTTCCTGGAACAATAGGGTGGGGGGGGTCAATCCTTCAAGTAGGGGTAGTAGCTGGGTTACCTTCACTGTCCTGGGTTACCTCCTACCCTCCCTCTGCCATTGAAGATAGCAGCAGCTACCTTGGTTTCCTGATTCAAAATGGAGTTCCCTGCTAGGTTCTGAGCCTACTTCTGTATCTCATGGAGGCCCAGAGCCTAGAAGCCCATACACATCTGCCATCCCACAGTCTCTTTCTACACTCCCCCAACCTTCCACCACCAAAAGCACTGGAAATGGGAACAAAGACCACGACCACCTACTGGGTAGCAATAACCAGCTAGCAAGGACGAACATGAATCTAGGAATTAATATAAGCTGAGTCAAAAAGTTTACCTGAAAAAATAAAACATAATAATCACCTAAAATATAATCACAAATATAAATATAATCACAAATGAATTGTGATTATTGCCAAGAAACCCTGGATTATTTTTAAGAATATATGGATGTTACAATAATAAGTGTTGGGATTTTCAATCTGATTCCCATGTATCAGTTGATTTGATACTTCTCAGTTTTCACTTAGCAAACTTGGGTAGACTTTCTTGGTCTGTTAGTTTTATTCAGACTCACAATGCGTACCTAGTTTACTGCCTTTCCCCTTCTCCCTTGGGTCTAGATGGAGTATATTGAATCACTGTGAGCATAAAAGTAAGCAGTACGTTGCAGGTACTGAGTCTCCTGTAATGAATAAAAAAGACACGAAAGGTCATGCTTCACCAGGGAGGGGTAGTGCTCTAGCCAGTTGCTAGTCTTACAGACAATAGACTATGTGGCTTGGCTCAGTTTACATGGAGCACGATGTTTAGGCTTTTAGTGAAATGTAATAAAATACACCAATATTTCTTTTCTCCCTGATGAAGCATCACAAAATGTGTGATCTCACCAGGCATGGGTGTCTCATGCCTGTAGTCCTAACTACGTGGAAGAATAAGATCTGAGAATCATGGTTTGAAGACAGCCCAGCCAGTAAAGTCTAAGACTCTTATCTCCAATTAACTAGCAGAAAGCAGAAAGTGGAGCTGTGGCTCAAGTGGTAGAGTGTGAGCCTTGAGCAAGAAAGCTAAGGAACAGTACTCAGGCCTTGAATCCAAATCTCCCAATAGTAGCATCAGTTAAAAAGAAAAGAAGAAGATCCAGCTACCCAATTGCCAAACAGTGGCATGGCTGGCCTAGATAAGTCATGGCACGAAAGACTGGCTGGATGACTTTAGAAACAGTGGTCAGACCTCCTCTGAAATTCCTCTCTTGGTGAAGTAGCTGAGTGACTCCTCCTCACTGCTGGCAAAGCAATTGGTTCCGAAGTGCAGGGCACCTGATACCACTGAGGGCAGGAATATATGAAGCACCAGAGGCCATTTCCACTGCCCAACTTCATCAAACCTACAGCCTGTCGTGACAATTGCATGGTAAGAGGTAGAAGATTTTATTAAAAAAATAATAATAACAGCAGAAGATGAAGCTGAGAATGTCTCCACAGGTAGCAGGTAAGAATTGCTTCTATCTTTGCCAAGCGTGAAGAAAAAGATGACACCATAAAAACTTCTTAATTTTAAATAGTCTTTGAAAGCAGAAAGTCCCCAAAGTGGGGACTGTTGGATTCTTCCTCCAAGGACATGGAACAGTTCAGAGAAAAACTCCACATCAGATACTGACACTTGAGGATTCCACTCTCAAAAACGGCCAATCACTTCCTGATCACTACACAGGAAAGCACACCTAGCCATCAAAACTTGTAGGTTTGGCAACATGGATGTGTTGGACAGCTTTTCATCACTAATAAAATCCCAGAGATGATAACTGATTTAAAAAAAAAGAAAGGTTTTGCTTGGCTTCCAGTTTTGAAGGTTCCAGTTTACTAAGCAAATCATTGGCTTTACACCTGTTTGGTGGACTTGCATATTGATGGCACTGAATGTGCCCTGGAGCAAACTGCTTACCTCAGGACCAGGAAGCAAAGAGGCCAGGGTCCCTTAAGGGTCTAGGGCAGCCCCTCCATGAGGCAGGGATACACCCGGAGGCCCCACCTACTAAATATTCTACCTTCTCCCCATAACAGCACTCTGGGGACTAAGATGATAACATATGAACTCCGGGGGTACATTTACCCAAACCATCACAGAGAAAGCCATATTCAAAAGGATTTCATAATCCTGTCATTGACTTTGGTATAAATTAATCATGTGTACATAGGATACTGAGAAACTTTTTTTAAGTGACACATATAGTGTTTATTTATAGGCTTCAATGAAAATGAAATTCAAACAGCTTAATACCCATATGTGAGTAATCTGGCAAATACAGGTATCAAGCGCATTTTAATTGTTTTATAAAACAATTCTTCTTTTATAAAACAAATCTTCCAAGTGACCATAAATCAGTTCTCATTACAAATTCTTAAGCCATTTTTTTTCAGGTCAACACAATTACACTTTTAAGATTACAGAGTTTAATGTTTATCGGGTTAAATTCCTAAAGCTAGCAAGATAACAAACGGGTTACTGGGATTCAGACAACCACATGGTAGAGCATGTTTACTGGGCGATCCCAATTACACCACAAGCCAGACGACTTTCAGCATTTCCTGTCTTTTTACTCTCGTCATTTCCACCTCTGCCCAAGTCTGCATTTTCATAGACCACCATAGTGCGGCCAATGATGGAATACTCGCCTGAGAGTGAGGCCAATGAGTCTTCGATGGACACTTTGGCTGTACCGTCTTTGTCAGCAGTCACATTGCCCAGATCTCCAACATGTCTTTCTTGATCTTCTGGCCCACCGTGATTTTTGGATAGAGGATTAAAGTGAGGACCTGCACTGGTACATCCTTGTGTATTATCTCCAAACTGATGGACATGGAATCCATGCTGGCCTTCAGTCAATCCTGTAATGGTCCCCTGTACCACAACTGGCCCATTTGCCTGCTGCTCGAAGTGGATGATGCCCTGCACCAGACTTTGGCCCTTCAGCACGCACACGGGCCTTCATCGCCATGATTGGCCCGCGACGCTTAGAGAGAGAACCGCTATCATGCTGTGTCATTTGGCTCATCTGTGACTAACCCCTCGCAACGTCATATGGGCTAAGCGCTTTAAGATTTGTTTAAACAAAGATTGCTTTTATAGGAGAGTGAGAAGGAGGAAATGTAGCGTTTGGGGAATGGGTATGGGACGTGGATGGGAGTATGCAAGCTTAAGTCCTCCTTTACTATATTAAGAATTAAATGATAGCCAGTGGCTTACACCTGTAATCCTTGCTACTCAGGAGGCTGAGAACTGAGGATTGCAGTTCAAAGCCAGCCCAGGCAGGAAAAGTCCATGAGACTCTTATCTCCAATAAACCACCAAAAAACCAGAAGTGGCACTGTGGCTCAAGTGGTAGAGTGCTAGCCTTGAGCTGAAGAGTTTTAAGGAACAGTGCCCAGGCCCAGAGTTCAAGTCCCACGACCGACCCCCCCCCAAAAGAAAAGGAATTAAATGAAAAATTCTTAAACTTATTAAGAAATAAAACCATAAAAGCATTCATTTTAAGAAAATTGAGCTAAGTAGAAGCTAAGTAGAAGAAGAAACATAGTTGATTCCAAGCAGACATAATAGTAGAAGTAGCACTGGGGAGATTTGATTTTTTTTAATATAGTAATACTCTTTTGGATTTTTATAATAGTAACAACAATAGTACTAGAAATGATAGTTTGTAACCGTATTTGGCGTTTAAAACTAAGTATATGTCTTTGTTTATTAACCTAAGCAACTTTGTGGACAGTTCTTTTTCTATTTCCAATAGCACAACAGCAGGAGGCTGCTTTATTGAAGAACAACATTTATCAGTTTACAAAGGACATTGCAAGATACTTTAAAAACATGGTAAAGGATGATTAGTGCGTTCTTCCTCCTCCTTCTGCTCCTCCCCTTGTTAAGGACTGGGGATCCAACCCAAAGTGTTGCCCATAGTAGACAAATATTCTACTACTGAATGGAATTCCTAACCCGTGGTTTTTTGAGACAAATTTCTGTTACATGTAGCTCAGCCTGGCCTTGAAGTCACAACCCTCCTGCCTCTGTTTCAACAGCTGCTGGGATTACATGTGTGTACTACCACACCTGGTGTCTTTTTCTTTTCTTCTTTCTTCATTACAAAATTGGTGTTTACAGATAGTACTATTTATCTGGCACCATTGAAGTTTTCATAAAATTCACAATTATTATTAAAATCATTCTCTGTTAAAGCTTTAAATTTTAATCACATGTATATGCACATGTGTAGCTGTGTACATGGGTGTGTAAATATATATATATATTATAAATCAATTTTTATATATATAATAAATAAATATATATATAATATATATTATAAATCAATTTATTATCATGTATTATTATATACATGTATATCATATATAAATATATAAGTATTAGAGAGTGTGTCAGTTTTTCCATTGCTGGCCAAGTACTCAAGAAAATCAACTTAAGGAAAGAAAGATTATTTTGGATCATGGTTTCAGAAGTTCCCTGTGGGTGGCCAGGCTCCTTTGTTTATAGGCCTTTGGAAAAGCAGAACCATTCTAAAGAAAGCACAGTGAGGAAAGCTGCTCACCTTATAGCAGCCTGGAAGCAAAGAATAGTTAACAGGAAAAGGCCAGAGCCAAGATGGACTCTTCAAACGCAAACCCACAGGAACTGACTTCTTCCCACTATCCATAGTTTTATACTCTCAATAATCTATTCAAATTTTGAATCTATCTATGCATTAAACCAAAGATTAGGTCAGAGCCCTCATGATCTAATCATCTTTGGAGCTCACCTCACAGATACAACCATTATTGGGTGATACTCATCTCCTAGGTTGCCTCTTATTTCAATGAAGTTGGGAATTAGGATGGATCTTCAAAGAAAAAGGGAGAGAGCAAGGGAGGGAGGGAGAAAGATCTAGAACAAACTCACATGTAAATACAATAGTGGGGAAACAATTCAAGAGGCCTTTGTTTTCATTTTTTAAGAGATCTTAATTTCTTTATAAGGTAGTGATTAGATTGGGTTTGCTACTTCTTTCTTTCCTCCCTCCCTCCCTTCCTTCCTTCCTTCTTTCCTTCCTTCCTTCCTTCCTTCCTTCCATCTTTCCTTCCTTCTTTCCTTCCTTCCTTCCTTCCTTCCTTCCATCTTTCCTTCCTTCCTTCCTTCCTTCCTTCCTTCCTTCCTTCCTTCC